GATAGATCAACAAAAAATGTAAAAAACTCGTAGATACTAATCATGTGATTGAGTCCTTTATGAAATTTTGCCTTTCAGTGACATGAAACTACTCAAGAGAATTTTAATTAGTGTATTCTTTACTAGTACTATAACAACAGACATTAAATAAATCGAATTTGAGAGGAGTGTGAGGAGAGAAAGAACTAAAATGTACGTATTCAGTAATTTTAGGTTCACAAAATCAAATCGAGCAGTTTAGATTGTTGATGTTTTGAAGAGCAGGTAGACTAAAAGGGAATGATTCGGAGCTAGTAACATGAACTTTCCTAAGTTTGCAATTTGGAATATTAAAGTAAGTGATAAGTGGTAGCCTTGTATTGAAGTACCTTGTATCATTTGTATTACAATTTGGGAATTTTTAAAGTTTCAATAAGTTTATGTAGTCTAGCTGTATGAAAAAATACCTTATTCGGACTTTACGGACTTTGTTATTCTTTGCTAGTCAAGATTTTTAATAAATAAAAGGTGTCATTTAATAAATAAAAGTATGTTTAATAAATAAAGGGTTTTAACTTGAATTATTCTGGTACGTTTTCTGACAGCTTTTAAAGCTTCTTTATCTTAAAAGTATAACATTAAAGTCCTTTTAACTGAGACTGAAAGACGAATTATGTGTTTACTGTTTACCAAAAAGAATACAGACTTTTTCTACTAAATGCACTGAACAGCAAAAGCAACCCCAACTAATATATGTATGGAAATGAGAATTACTTTCGAAACAGATCAAAGAATGCATATAGCTAAAGCCATACGACAGTCTACTGTCTTTTATGTTGGCTGCCAAATAGAAGAACTTTTGCGATATCAATAATCTAGCTATAAGTATTCTTGCAAGAATTTTACCATCAGTAGAAAGCAAAGTAATACTACAATAATCCGAGAAATCGAAAATCTCCTCTCGTAATGCAGGTGGTGGTAGTCGCATCTCGAAGAATCAGTAAATGTCCGTTTCGTTCCTAGCAGTTCACAATAAGCTCTGTCGGGGGGCAATGCTTGGTCTCTGTATCTCCAAGTTTTGGATGGAATCCGGCAACCTCAGATACCTTACCAGATTTCGTCTGTTACATACCCTTGGGATGGGTTATGTCCGGTTCAGTTTTCACTGATTGTTGGACGATCTGCTGATTTACTGAGTCTTTAACTGAACACTGGACACTGGATCTGCAGTCACCCGTTATCATGGAAGAGGAGCTTCTATGCCTCTCTGAAGATGCCAGCTATCTGGGTAGGTTTCAACTATGTCGATGGTAACAACATATAAATTCTGGATGAGTCATTTGTAGGTTAGTGATAACAGATGAATTAATTAATACTGATTTGCACAGTTAACTGTTGCTTCTTGTTATGGTTCTGTACTGAGGAGCAGCTCATTATCATAAACACCATATTTCAAAAGAAATACAGTCTAGAAACAATCTTGATTCTCGATCAATGCATTGGTATCTCATCGATTATATTTTAATGCTTCAAAGATTCGTTCGACATGATTTATTCCGATTAATAAGCCTATGGAGACTTTCAGGACGAACCTAAGAGAGCAGGAATTCCTAGGAAAAGAATCAAAGTTAACAATCTTGATATTACTACAGAACAGATTTATAAATCATCTGATAGATCCCTCCCATGCAGCACTCTGGTAACTCATCAAAAGTAGCATCCAACAATCCTCCACAATGTGCTTTAGGCCATATAATCCTTTATTAGTTTTTTGCTTTAGATGGCATTTTCGCTACGTATGCACCTACCTATCTGTCTTATCTTCCATCTTCAATTTTTTACTTAGTAATGATATCGTTTCTCTCGGGTAAACCAATTTGAATACATTAAACGTAGGTATGAATAAATGTGGACCGGAAATTTTTGAGAGAAGTGATGCAGTTATCCATGGATCAGTTTTGCTCCATTAAGTATTAGGAATTTTTTCAAGATAACAAAAGTTAAAAAGAACAAAGATAGTTAAAGAGGATATAGCTGATTTTATGAATCTTTTTTACTCATTCTTTACCAGTTTCGTCTCATTCAACAATATCCATTTATCATGGTAAGAAGATCATTGAGTCAAATTTATCAGACATCATTTTTACATTTTAATCAGATGACAGTAACTTTGATCGTAAGCATTCTGCAAAAAGATTATCTTAATTGATTATGAACTATTCAAAAATTTTTTTAATAATGCAGTCACCACGATTGTTCTTTCAGTGATCTACTATTAGCCTTTAATAATCTGTTTTTTTCAAACATTTTGTGCTTGACTTTTGATCTCATTTCTACGAACAGTCGTGGTGACAAAGATTTTTTGTCTACACCTAAACTAAATTTAGAGATAATTGCATTAGCAATGTAAGCTTTTTCAGAATTTTCAAATTTAATTAGTAATAAAAGAAAAAGCAAACAAAAAGCGGCTTTTAATTTCAAATTACATACCTTTGAAAACAGCACTACTTTTAAAGATAATTATCAAAATTTTAAATTATTTCTCCCTGCTAGAACTCTTCATGTCCACAGATACTCTGCCATAAATAATTTTTCGCATTCCGTTGTTGTTAAATGAAACTATCGCCTCATTACCGGATTAAACAAGATAAATTGATAACCCATCGTAATCAGACAAATTTTTTTAAAGTATTTTGATACATATTTCAAAGCTTATTATGAACATGACTCGTCATTATATTGCATTGTTTAAAGTTTTGTAACGAATGAAAATGTAATTAAATAATGATGCCAGGTATACTGAATTGATAATCTTTATTGATAGCAACAGTTTAAAAATAAGAAGTCAAAAAAAAAAAGACTGACTAATTTATTTATTAGTGTGAAAGATAAAATTAATAAAAAATACAGCAAAATATCGGCAATATATTTTGGAAAAATTATTTGCATGCGACACATTAACAGACTGACAGATTTATATTATATATTTAAATAAAATTAAAATAAAATATGATAAATTTAAGAAATGATTCGAACTATGCGATGATTAGTGCAATTTATTTCTCTCACTAAAATTATATCAGTGATCTGTATTTTATTTGTTTTTTTTTTTTTTTTTTTTTTTAATTTCTAAACTTTTTGCCTTTTATCAGGTTTCTCTTGTCAAGATTTTTTAATAAATAAAATGCCACCACTTGCTTGTTTGACATGCTTTTTGCAGTTATTTCAATGATTCCAAATCTTCATTCCACCATCTTAACATTATAACATTGAAGTTTTTTTGACGCCAATTAATATGCTAATATCTTCTTCTGTTATTTTTTGTCCGATCATACTTTGACAATTTTTGACCATACCTTTTCTGATCAAAAATTATTTAGATAATATATTCTTGTGGTTTAATTTATTTTTGTATGTGGAATAGTCTAGTTGTATAAATAAAGTAAATGGAAAAAGCTGATGGATTTTGGAATTATTAACTTTATAGAGAGTAATCGCTTTATAAAAATTCCCAAGAGAATATCTATCTTGATAATATACTAAATGATGAAATTTGCTAATACTTTTTTTTGGTTTTTTTTTGCTTTGCTAAATATTAAACTTCGTATAATTTCATTCTAATCAATTTAATCACTCAAAATCCTGAAGCTTTTTAGAATTCCTTATATTTATTTTCTAATTCATGCATTTTTAAATAGTTCTAATTCATATAGTTTCTAATTTGCATTACTAGCACTCTGAAACTACCAATCATTTTATAGTGATATGTATATATACAATTAACTCATTTTAAAATATGCAACAAAATATGGAAAACTCGAGGACTTAATTACTTTCATCAGAAGCTGGTAACTTTTTTTTAAGAGGAACTTTGCTTTATTTAAGAAATAGCAGTGAGTGACATAATCACCGTAATGATAACTCTTAACATTTGTTGTACTAAATATTAATGATTAAGTCATAAATTTTTTTAACTATCTTCCATTCTTGTAAATTTGATGATTGGTTTATCGCTTTCTTTTTTTATTCCCAATTTTCTATTAAGAACTCTTCCATGCGCGTCTTTATCAATTCGCTTCATTGATTCTGCTTCAGAGTTTTATGCTAGAATGGATAGATTAATTTACTTTTAACTTGCTATGTCGTTTTCTTTAATAGCAGTAACTTGTGACTAGCAATTGTACTCTCAACGCAAAAATTTTCAAATTTTATACCTCTGCATAATCTGAGTTTGCTCTCTCAAAGTAACCCTTTTTTATCGTTTATTCTTTATTCGTCTTTGGTTACCAATTATCAGTTTCAATTTCGGTATGCATTTTGACTTATCCCGAAGTTTTCTTCTTCCATTGACTCTTTTGCTGGTTTCAATCATCGACACTGTGTTTATTGCATTCAAGAGAAATTACAGGAGATACATAATAACAGTATTTAAATCAAGCACCCGTTATAGATTTCATTTTGAAATAGTTGACGTTATTTTTCATGGAATAGAAATCGTAACAATCAAACAATTTGAAATATAAGTTGGATGGATAATAAGTATTCAACAAGGGCATAAATTAAATTGCTATTATTCTGGTATACTTTTACCAGCTAAATATGTTCAGGTAATTTTTTTTTCGCTAATTCTGATTCATATAATCAAGAGAACGATCGATCGTTTCAATAGTGTAATTGCTAAAAATTTCTAAATATTTCTCTTCGGAGATTTTTCAGTCTTTTGCTTCACCAATATAAAATATGAAGTTTATAATATATACGAAAACAAGAAAAGCAAATTCCTGAGAAAGTGTAAGAAATCATATTTGATGTAATTCATCGATGAAAAGAATGATAATTCAATTATTTATTTAGAATTCTCGTCTATATTATCCTAAAAACAGTACAATCAATGACAATTTGAATTTGACATTGCAGTAACACCTTAGAATTTTAGAACCTATATTAAAAAATCTGTGTAATGAAAATTAATGATTTCAAAATTAACATATATATATTTCAATTTAATGGTGTACTTCAAGTCAGACTTCACCGCCTGGAGTTTTTGTTTCGTTTTTATTAACTTCATCTGTTCTGAAAATAAGCGATTTGAGTTAAAAAATGATGCATTCATTTGAGGTGAAATTTACTGAAATATTCAGTGCATTTTAAAAAATGGGTTAGTGGGAGCAATTAGGAAGGAGCTATAGTCGAATATTGAGTGCTCAGAACGGCTACTGTTCTAGTTTTCCCGGAAATCAAGGTAATCAAAAAAAGAAAACTGAATGAAAAACAAAATCGAAATACCTGGTTCCTGAAGCATCGGATTCTGCTATAGCGGGTAATGAGGAAATGAACTTGCAATCCCTATTAAGACCACAGATTTTTAGAGCATTTATGAAAGCAACTAATTTGATAACGGTAAAACCGATTAGAATTGGATGTTCTTTTAGCTGTAAAACAACCAGACACATCTTCTTTACGGAATCATTTCTGAAATTTATCATTTCGATTTTTCTTCTCGAGAATTTTGGATTTATTAATAAAAATATGGTACAAAATTTTGAAAGCAGCAATCATTGTTACATATATATCAATTAAATACCATTAAATTTTTTTAAATAGATATTTACCTCCGAGTGTAATACGAAAAATGAATTTTCATTTTTTTGTTAAGCAAACTTAGCAAATATTTGATCTTCCCTATGAACTGTATGCAATTAATTCATCATCATTCCCAAATTTCAAACATTCTGTACTTATAGAAACGATCTTTAAACTTTAAACTACGCAATAGCATACTTCCAAATGAAACTAATAAAAAAATGAAAAGAAGATATAGCGCAATAGTGAAATGAAATAAAATCTGATGAGATGTAGTAGTAATGAAAAAAATAATTGAAAAGGAAAAAGGGACTGATGAAGAATAAAGAATTTATAGTGTTATACTGAATTAAAGAAATACTATGGTAAGTTAAAATGATAGTGAACAGAGATCATTTATGCGATAAACATAAATGCGTTGCTGAATTTACGATTTTCCAAATAGTGAATCATTTGAATTAATTACAATTATTGCACTTTTTCCACATCCGGTTCCGGTCATTTCGGTTTTACTTCAAAAATAAATACCTTGTTGGATCAGCTGCCCACCAAACGGAATTCCGCGAAAGTCCCCATGTTCGGCAATTATTGCTCGTTAATTGCCCATCATTATCATTATCCGCATAAAACATTGCAGCAATATCATCTGCATAAACAGTTCTTGTGCTCTGTGCCTGTAACTGCATTTTATTCAAACAAATGAATAAACCGGAAATTTGAATTCGTCAGAGTATGTATGGTTTATTGAATAAAACAAAGTATGGCACAAAAAGTTTGATAAACTTCAAAATAAATTTATAAAAATAGAAATGTTATTTAAGCCTCTTATGGAATTCTACGACAGGTTATTTGATTAAAATTTGAAATCCATAAATGTTAAAACTAAAAAAATAAGAACAAAAGAGTTGTTAAATAGAAATTCATCATTATGCAGGTTGTAATATATGGTTAACGATACTAACTGTAAAAAAATAAGAAAATTTTACATTATAATAAGAACTTGAATCGATAAATTGATTGCTCTGTACATAATACCCGTAAACGTGAACTTTCCGATCCACAGTTACAGCACAGTACGGATCCTGATAAACAGCTGGTGTTGGTTGAAAACGATAACTTTCATCGTTTTCACGATCACAGTAAGAATTTTCTGATTTGTCACAAATACTTTCGCAATGATGGCGTAAATTACTATCATCGCTCGAACCTTAATTTCTTTATGTATTCAAATTATAAATGACTACAACAAAGAATTATATTTCATGGAAAAGTCTATTTCTTTACTTCCTTAAATTTCATCAGTTTTAAATTTAAATAGCAAAAAGTTGGCTTGATAGATCAAATTAGCATTACTATATTAGCACCGTTCATTTTTCTTACTTAATCATCCAAAAAAAATTTTTTAAAAATAAAAAAATAAGTCTAACAATAAATACTTAATAAAGATTTAACTTTTAAGGATAAAATTCTTGACAAAATGTTGCAAAATTTGAAAAAATTTTAATAATATTACTCACCATTACATCCTGATACATGCTTCATTTCATTGTCATCACGTACGTTATGACGTATTTCCGATTGCTTATTTCGTCGTTGCATAGCATAAAAATTATGTGATGCAATTTTGATCAATTGTCGACGTAGCAAATGCAATATATTAATTCGTTCATGGCGATTTTTATGATTGCTAAGAATTTCCGATTTAGGATGATCATGAGATTCGGCTACTGATCCATTAAAGTGTAAATGTTGATGAGATGAGGTGGGTAGAAAAGACTGATCTGCTACAGCATTCCGAACAGCACTTTCACTAATCATTGGTATGAATAATGCTGGAGTACTGCCAATCATTTGATTGCTCTGAAAATGAAATTAAAAAATACACTAAACAAAGAAAAAAAACAAGTCAACTTTAAATAGAAATTGTGACGTAATTAATTAGGCATTGAAGGTGATATGAAAAGTAACTACTATGTGAATATCGACTTTAATTTAGTACAATTTCTGATTTTTAAGGTAATGATTGTAATAATTACTGAATTAGACTGCAATTAATTTTTCACATCATTAAATTTATAACGTTAATAAGATGTTTTTTTAATTTATTATTACGAAATAAACTAATTAAATTACCTAGCTACATGCAAGCTTTCTTGAACTTTCCCATTTTTTCTTGGAGAATTTAAACTATTCAAGAAGTTTAACAACAGAATAGTTGAAATTTAATAAATCATATTAGAAATAAGGCATGTATTTTGCATGTTAAAAAAAAAAAATTTATTTCAGATATGTTGCATGGATTTTTTCAGGATAAAATAAGAGAAAGAACAAGAGGAAGAATAGGAGAGGGGGGGTTGGAGAGAGAGAAAGGTTAAAATAATTATTATTTCATGAGATTAAAGAAAGTCTACATAATGGAAAAAGCCTAGATTACTTCGTGACATGAAGATATAACAAAGCATCATTAAGCCGCTTCTTCCTCTTTTTCTTTTTTTTCCCCTCTCTCCTTTTTTTTTTCGAAAATAATAAAAAAGACAAATCATTTCATCAATTGAGAAAAGGGATACAGAGAGAGAGAGGGGGAGAAGGAGGGAGAAAGAGAAGAGAGTTCTATCAAAAATGACTGTTTTCTTTCTTAAATGTCATTTTTACATTATCTTTAATAATGTTTTTCATTTAATTAGTTTGAGGAAACAAAAAAACAAATGAATAAATAAAAACAAAAAGAAAAAAGAAAAAAAAAAACCCAAAATGTAATATCAAACAAATACGTAACAGACATGAAAGCAGAAAAAAAAGAAAATAACCTCTAACATAGATAGAAAGATGATAAAAAGAGTTTTTAGATGAAGAACGACATTTGAAATAACAATTGTTGAATTTGACTTTTTTTTTTTCTAGAATAAAGAAAATAAGTAAGGTATGAGAGAATATCGCAGAATCAGTTAAACCTACTTGGACATGCTATTTAAAAAAAATGAAAAACAAAAAAGAAGGAAGGAGGATTAAAAGGGAAAGGGAAAGGGAGAGAGAAGGGGAGAAAGAGAAAAAGGAAAGGAAAGAAACTGCAAATTCTCATTTCTTCGTTCCTTTTCGGCTTCTTTTTTTCTGATCTCTGGGATGGAAAATGTGTGTTGAAGGTATCCTATAATCATAGTTCATGTGTGTTTGCTATATAGAATTTGGGTTATGGATAAATGAAAAAAGATTTCTTTTCAAAATTTTGAAGTAATTTTTAATTTATTTGCAAAGATTTAAATTATCTTCTATAAGGTTTTCATTTATTAATTTTGTAGTTTTATATTTAATTATCAGAGATAGCTAGCACGTATAATTTTTATCAAATATTAGTCGTTCCTTTTGCTAATATCTTATTCACTCATTTTAAATATGAAATAAAAAACATTCAAATTTTTTTTTTAATAAATTTAAATCAAAGTAGGGTGTTTTTCTTTCTCTTTTTCTGTTTGTTTGTTTTGATTAAATCTGAATCCATGTAAATTTATGGATTATATTGGTGAAAATTTTAATTCAACAGCTAGACTACTTTTTTACTTTTATGTTATCAGTATCAGGAAATTTCAAGTGAATTTGATATTAATTGACCATCTGCTTACTTATAAGATGAAGTTGGTGAAACATGCAATTTCCATAACATTTACTTTTCGATGGAAGAACTGAATGGACGAATGATTATTTACTGACGAGAATGTTGAATAACTGCAATAATATAAAATTGTAATTTGAAAGGGAATGATTGGTTGTATAATTTCGTACATTTACTATGCCAATACTATTGCTCTCATTTTAATAAATTAGCATTTCTAATTGTTGATAGTTTTTTCTATTGCTAATACAATTAGTGACGCCAAAAAAAGCAAAGACAAGGGAAAACGTAAAGAAAAGGAAGGAAAAAAAGTGACACTACTTTGATACTGAATTGATAATTAATTAATGATATCAATGTTAGATAACTAAGCAAATTGTTTTCTTCCTTTTTTTGCTTTCATATTTTCAACAAAGTTTATCATATTTAATGATAAATAATATGAAATTATAAAAAAATTGAACTGATGATATAAAAAGAATTATTGATGTGACTTTTTAAATATATATATAATGATGGAAAAAGAATTTATCACACAATCTCTCTAACAACAATTATGTGCGTAGACTTAACAGTGATATCGTCAATGTTGAAAGGTTATAAGAGGTGCCAATGATGGCGCAAAAAAAAATGAAAGGGGAAGAAAACTGTGAGCCGAAAAACAAACAAAAAAAAAACATCATGGGAAAGAAAGGAATAGGATTGACGTAGTAAAAAAAATAGAGAAAAAATATAAAAAAATAAAAATAAGGAAGAAAAAAAGCCAACTAGTAGCATTAATATTTGTTGCTGTAACGGTACTGAAATGGTTTTTTAGGAAAAAGAAGACAGGTAGAAAGAATTCGAAAAGAAAGTATGAGAAAAGAGAAAGATTTTATTTGTCATAAAGAAGAAAAAGAAGAAAAATGGGAAAAGCTGAAAGAAAAATAATAATAATAATAACACTTAGGAAATATTAATTGCTAGGTGGGAATTATGATAATAATTTAATTCTATGAATTTCAAGAATTTTACACAAATTATGTTATTTTTACATTTCGAATAGTTCGTAGTCAATCTAAAATAATTAGGAGAGTGGAAATAAATAAGAAAAGAGAGAGAGAAAAAAAACGAGGGACAAAAAAAGAGATGAAAACAGATGATACAATGAACTGAAATGATATGGTTACCTGATAACACTTCTTTCAAGGATGTAAAATATTTGTGGAAATTCTTTTTTTTTTTTGAAGAATACAATGAAAAAAGGCAAAATATTGAACAGATGTCAACATGTGTTGTTCACCTAAACTGCTTTTTCTCAAATTCAATGAATATTATTTATTTATTGTTATTATCATTACTATTTATTATTATTATTATTATTATTAATTATTATTAGCATCAATCATAATTATTTGATTTATAAAGTCACCGAATATTCAATTGTAGAAATTGCTTTGTTGTACTTTAAGATCAACAGTAATTTAAATTATTGCTTCTCATTAAGCAAAAATATGTTGGGTAATCAATTTAGTATATAATATGCCATGAATTATGATATTATACATAAAAATGATAATTAGTAATGGAATGTATGCAAGAGTTAGCATATCATAACACATATTTTGTCAGTTTTAAGATTGATTAAATCATAAAAATATAATTGGAATAGAATAACAGGCAGGATGATAACTTTTCAAATGGATTAAGATTTACTTTTCGATAATTTTAACGAAAATTTTCTATTAAATCTTTTCTTTTCTTTTTACTTTTATTTTCAAACTTAAATTTATTAAATAAATTAGATAAAAGGAAAGAAAAAGATATCATAATTTCTAGAAAAGAAAGAAGAAAAATTACAAGATGAAATATGTGTATGACATTACTACAACTATCATTTCTTGTACTCTGCAATTCCTATCCTAATTTCATCAATAATTGATGCTCATTGTTTCAAATGGAAATTTACGATTTCTTCAGATCAAAGAGTTTTTGTAATCCTTTCATGCTTGCACTTCTGTAATTACAATACCGCCAGGCACATTACACCGTTTTCCATTCTTTCACACTTCTTTTCCTACTCTTTTCATCTCCCATTTTCTTCCTTTTTTTCCTCACTGCTTTTCAACTTGTCCTTCAGAAAATTTATATCACTTCAAAGAGAACATACATCATTTAAATGCAACATATCTAACTAACCAAACTTTCATATCATCTCATTTTTCACCACTGATACTGCATGTGTGTGTGTGACACAATTAGATTAAGTTTATTATAAAAATTTTTTTTTTTATTTCTTAAAAAAAGAAAAAGGAGTAATTTGTTTAAAAAAATGCAAAGGTTGAAATTAATTTTTATTAAAAAATTTATTTGCTATATAACATCGTTTTCTTTCTTCTTTTTTTTTTAGTTTGTATAGTTAAAAGGAAATGTATGATGAAAACGTCAAACATTATGATGAAATTTGTACAAACAAAGAAGGTTGTGGAGAATACATTGAGAATAGTTGAGGAAACAAAATTGTTTACTCAACCGAATTTTCATGCTCCTGAAATTGTGATCAAAAGTAGTTGTTTCGAGAAATGTTTCCGGTAACAATGAAGGTTGCACAAAAGGTGAAAGAAAGAGATTGTTGCATCAAGAAATGTTATAAATGAAAAGTGGCACCAAAATATTGATATTTTGGATATAATTCAATATATCGCACAGATCATGATAATATATGAGTAAAAGACAATTATGAATTCAATTAGACCAAACTTAAAGATAATTACGCTTACGATTTTAATTACATTTTGTAATTCAATCTATCAGCTAAGCAATTTATATTTGAAATTAATTGTTATAAAGCATATGCATATCCTAGCACATGCAAGTATCTAAAATTATTTCCTAACGCATTATGATTATCATATTTAATCAACGACAAATCAATCCATTATTTCATTCTCTTACTGTTAAGTAAAAATAATTTTAATAATTGAAAATATATGAATAATTTAAACAATAATGTATAAATAGTAGAAATGATCAGAAAAATTAAAGTTAAATTATTGGAAAAATTTGTACGAAAAAAAAAATTTCAAAGCTAACAAGAAAAAAAAAAGAAACGGAAGTAATAACCATAAGTGTCATTCATTTAGAATTTTATATAAACCCTACAATTCCGACATTGGAATAAGTAAATGTCATCATAAGTTTTCAAAATGTCACATTCTAAGTTACTCGCACTTTCTCCGTCCATTTTCCTTCAAGTAAAGCTTTC